AACCACCGGGTGATATGGCTAACATTTATTTTGAGAAATTATTAATTTAATCGCATATTTGAAACGTATAGTTTCTGTTGTCTTGTTAGAATTAAGAACTTAACTTGATTTTGATTTTTATACCCTCAGGCATAGGGCTATGATGATACGGCCAAAAAGTGCCTCATAATAATGGTTTTAGACTCTAGGTCTCTTTGGACCAAATTCGTTTTAGGACTTTTGGAGTCGATCTAGCGATGACCGTCCGTCGGACTGTCTGGCTGATGCGCACGATAACTCTCGAAGGGAGTATCCGATTTGGTCTGGAACATCCACCAGCAAAGGTCGAAATTAAAAAAAAAAAATTTGATACACAGAAAATGAAACGATAATCTGATTTTGCTCCAAATAAAATAAAACGCAAAATTAACATTCGCTTCCTTTCAGACTTGGCACATTTCAATATTTCTATAGACACAAGATCTGTTATAAAGATGGTAGAATTCGAACCATTCCTTCTGATACCTCCCCCACAAAGGGCCAAAGTTATGAATAACCGAAACGATTATAAAATCCGAAATAAGCATCACGTTCTCTTCATATTTCACACATCCCATTATTTATTCTAACACAAGATCTGCCGTGAAAATGGAATTTATCGAGGGACAACATTTTTAACATCCACGAAGCTCATAAAACGCGAAATTAACATCAGATTCCATTCAGACTTGGCACATTTGAATATTTCTATGAACACAGGATATGTTATAAAGATGATAGCGATCGGACCATTTCTTCTGGTACCCCCCCCCCCCCATACGGTTCAAGATTTTAAAAAACATTTTTTCGCATAAATTCAATATAAATGTTCGATTTTTTGGTAATTTTGCCCATATCAATATGTTTATCTGTACTAGACGCTAAGCTCAGCCGGGCCGAACTATTAATACCCTCCACCATGTGGAACGAATTCGGATATTAAAAGATTATAATAATAACATCCGCTAAGAATTCTGTTAAAATCTGTAGTATACCGAATATGCCCGTTATATTGGGATCTATACGAAGACGTGGACCTCCATAGGCAGTGTCATAAGCCATTACAACATTCAAATACGAAACTTGAAAAAATCCGGTGAATAATGTAGCTAAAATCATCAAAATACCGAATATAGGGAGGTACTGATATATGGGACCTATACGAATGCCTGGAACTGTATAGACAATTTTCTGTCATAAACTGTAGTTTCCATTACGAACTCTAAATACGAAATTTGAAACAACTCCGGTGAATAATTTCGCTAAAATCATCCAAATACCGAATGTTGGGATGTACCATTATATGGAGGCTATACGAAGGCGTGGGCTCACAGGCTATAGTATTCATTACGATTTCTAGGTACGAAATTTGAAAAAACTCCATTTAAAAATGTCCTAAAATCGTCAACATATTGTATATCGGGGGGCACCGTAGTATGGGGGCTATAGGATATCGTGGACCAAACAATTCTCTTCCAGAGGGTAAAATACTCAGAAAAAAATCCTTGTGTGGATTTTCCGACAATTTTATTGGAAAATGTGGCTAAAATCATCAAAATACCGAATATCGGGGGGTACGGTTATATGGGGTTACAAATATCGTGGACCGATATAGCCCATCTTCGAACTTGACCTGCCTGCACACAAAAGACTGATCTATGCAAATTTCAGCTTTCTATCTTTATTCCTTTTGACTCTAGCGTGACGGACAGACGGACAGGGCTAAATCGCCTTACGCTGATCAAAAATATACTTTGTTATGTCTAAAATGATTATTTCGATTAATTACAAACGGAATGACGAACTCAATATACCCTCCATATTATGTATGGTGGAGGGTATAAAAATGGAATGCTTTGGTCGATTATATGTGGTACCTCACGCATATCTTAATATTTTCTAAAAATTATCACAAGGAATTATTAAGGAAGTAGTCGATATAGTTCAAACTTGGCACGTCGCAATATTTATATCATATTTATTTAGGTCCTATACGAAACGGACAATGTTGACCCATTACTTTGGAACCTATGCCATAGAGGGTCAACAATTTGAATAATTATAACAGAAGTCAAAATATATTGAAATAATCAAAATTTGGCTGAGAGTATACATCTGTCGGCTAAACCGAGAGATACTTTTTTACTTGTTTTTATACCCTACACCACAAGGTGGTCAGGGTATTATGTCTTTGTGCATTTGTTTGTAACAGGTAAAAGGAAACGAGATAGACCCATAGTTCCTTTTGATGATCTGCATAGAATCACATTCTGAGTCGATTTATGCATGTCCGTCTGTCCGTCTGTCCGTCTGTCCGTCCGTCCGTCTGTCCATGTATTTTTGTAAACAAAGTACAGTTCGCATTTATTGCCCTATCCAGATGAAATTTTGCACAAATCATTTGTTTGGCCCAAGGACGAACCCTATTGAAATTGGAGATAATCGGTCAAAATTTAGATATAGCTCCCATATATATATTCGTCCGATTTGCCTTTTATTGTGCACCAAACGTGTAATATTAGTCCGAATAGTATGGAATTTTGCACATACAACCAAATTATGCCTGAAAATAAGTATGCCAAATTTGATCGAAATCGGTTCAGATATAGCTATAGCTCCCATATATATATAGTTTATCCGATTTGTTATTTTTGTCCTCCGCAGCCGTAATATGCACTCTGTAACAACAATATTTGGGGAAATAGATCAAATACATCTCAGAAATACATTTGCTAAATTTTATCGAGATCGGTTCAGATTTGGATATAGCTCCCATATATAACTTCGTCCGATTTACCTTTTATTGTACACCAAACTTCTAATATTTGCCCAAATTGGATGAAATTTGGCTCTTACGACCAAATTGAGTCTAGAAGCTAGTATGTCAAATTTGGTGAAGATCGGTTCTGATACAGCTATAGCTCCCATATATACTGTTCATCCGATTTGTCATATTTGTTACCCACAGCCGTAATATGCACTCTGTAACAACGATGTTCAGGTAAATATATCAAATACAGCTCCGAAATATATTTGCCAAATTTTATCGAGGTCGGTTCGGATTTGGATATATCTCCAGATTTACATTTTATTGTGCACCAAAGGTCTAATATTCGCTCAAATGGGATGAAATTTGGCACTTACGACCGAATTGAGTCCAGAAGCTAGTATGTCAAATTTGGTGAAGATCGGTTCAGATATAGCTATAGCTCCCATATATATTTTTCATCCGATTTGTTGTATTTGTTACCCACAGCCGTAATATGCACTCCATAACAACGATATTCAGGGAAATATATCAAATACAGCTCAGAAATACCTTGCTAAATTTTATCGAGATCGGTTCAGATTTGGATATAGCTCCCATATATAACTTCGTCCGATTTACCTTTTATTGTACACCAAACTTCTAATATTTGCCCAAATTGGATGAAATTTGGCACTTACGACCGAATTGAGTCTAGAAGCTAGTATGTCAAATTTGGTGAAGATCGGTTTAGATATAGCTATAGCTCCCACATATGCTGTTCATCCGATTTGTCATATTTGTTACCCACAGCCGTAATATGCACTCCGTAACAACGATGTTCAGGGAAATATATCAAATACAGCTCCGAAATATATTTGCCAAATTTTATCGAGATCGGTTCAGATTTGGATATAGCTCCCATATATATCTTTATCCGATTTCAAATTAATTGTACACCAAATGGGCAATACAAGTCCGAATTTAAAAGATACAAATACTTCGGCATATTTAGTCCTTTGAACTTTAAATTATAATTATAATTACGGCGTGTATGATTGAATTCTCCCATAAAAACTTTTAATTGTTATGCGCAGCTCTACTAAATTAGCAAAGTGGTGTAGGGTATCATAAAGTCGGCCCCGACCAACTTTAAGGCTTTCTTTACTGGTTTTATAAGTTATTCAATCTACTGCTTATTTTTCTTACCTTTCCTTCTTCTTTCCCGTAGTTACCAACAAAATAAATGAAACGTCTTTTTGGGATGTTCACTCATTTGATTTGTGTTTTGTTTTGTTTTTCTTTTTCATGGTTTTACTTTAGAAGTTTTTCTCTTTATTTTCTTTTTTGGGGAATTTTTATTAAATTGTGGTTTCATTTTTTGTTTACCTTTCTTTAATGGTTTTCAGTTTAATTAAAATTTCTAAATTACTTTTGTTTACGTTTTTTTCTTTAAATTGTTTGTTTTTTTTTTTTTTGTTAAATAATTGATTAAGAGAGAATAATAATCATCATCATCAATAATAATAATAATAATTGTTTGGTTTTTTTTTTTAATAATAATTAACTGTTTTGTTTGGTTGATTATAAATTGTTATTGTAGTTGTTGTTGTTGGTTTTGGAAATTTTTGAAAAGATTTATTTTGTTATTATTATTAAATATTTTTTTTATTGTGAAGTTGTTATCTTTTTGTTAATTTATTACGGGTTACCCTTTATTTTCTCACAAAAGAATGGTAGTGGAGGAAGAGGAAGTTAGAGGCTAATAATGAAAATTTGTATTTATTTGTTATAGAATTTTTGTTTGGTTTTTTTTATTTTGTTAATATATAATAATAATAATTATGTATAAATATTCGTTACTATTTTGTTTTAAATATTATTCCTTTTTTTCTCTCACTTTGTATATATACTTATATAATTTTTTATATTATAATTTATTTTTATTTACTTTTTTGTTAAGATAGAATTAAAAATCTAAAACAAGCAACAGTTCTAGAAGATTATAGGTGTTATTTTTCTGGAAAATTGTTACGATTTCTTTTTATTGAATTTCTTTGTTGTTAGTTAGTTTTTCCTTTTTTCACGAAAGGTTTTGTTGGAAAAAATTATTTTTTTTTAGAGTGAGGTAAGAGTAAGGAGAAAGACAAAATAGTAGAGTCTGTTAGAGAGCTAGGTTGAGAGTTGAATTTTTCTTTGTTTCCAATTGCAATTGGCTATTTGATTTCTAATTTAGTTTTTTTTTTTTCAATCTGAATTTAATTTGTTTTTTTGGGGACTTCATAGAAAAAGGTTAAGATTTGTAGTTTTTTTTTTTTAAAGAAGGAAATAAGTCACCTTTAAGAAGTTTATATAACTCTCCTGTGTTTGTGTGAGCTTCGTTATTATTTATTTATTTATTTATTTTTTTTTTTTAATATTGTATAAACCCTTTTTGTCTAAGTCTAAGGAAATTGTTTTGAACTTATTTTGAGTGAAATTTTCTGTATTTGAGATTCCTTGTTTCTTCCTGTGTCTCTTGTGTTTGGTTACCTCCATTCTCTTTGATATTTGTTTTTTTCTGTTAATATATTTATTTATATTTTTTGTTTGTTTGCGTTGTAGCTTTCATTGACTGTGTTTATGTTTGGTTTAGTTATTTAAGTGATTGTGAATATTATTTTGCAAAAGCAGTTTTATATTTATTGCAATTTTATTTATTTTTATTTTGAATATTATTTTTTTAAATGTGAGATTTGTGTGTATGCATGTGTATTATTGATTTGTTTTATTTTTTTATTTATTTTACTTATAAATATTATTTTAAATTATTTCGTTTTCAAAAAAGAGAAATATATTGCTTTGTATTTTTTCTAAAAGAAACCCAAACAAAATTATTTGTTTTCTTTTGTATTATGAAATATTGAATTCTTGTTCTTTTTTTTTAAAAAAAAGGGAAGTATGTTGGTTGAATATAATTAATTTATTATTAATATTATTTATTAATTAATTTTTTTTAATAAAATCAGATTTGAAAATTAAGAAATTTGTTCGGGACAGTACATTTTTCAAAGATAAATAAGAAGATTAAATAATTTATTTCGAATTGAAGAGGCTATTTTTATCAGACCTCCGAAAAACACAATCGAACTTGTGCAAAGAGTGAAACTCAATCGAATTCGAGCGGGAGCACTCCTGAGAGCAGAAAAAAAGATGATGAGCGTACTCAATTTTTCCATATCTTTCGAATATGAGTGAGCATATTTTCCTCGTTTTTGAGAAGAGCAATCTCTTCTACAGTAAACACCAATACCAAAACCCGTTTGCTATTACACACGCACACAGAAATCGGAAAACAAAATATTTTTTTCAACTCATTTACACTGTCAGAGCAAACGCTTGCTCTATTTTGTGCGATTCAAACATGAGAATTACTGCCACACAAAACAGTACAAGAGTAGGCTCCGTAAAAACTCCCACTTTTCGAGCAATCCTGATCGCGAGTAAATTTTGCCCCGAGTGAAAATTAGCAAATCTGTGCACTGATCAATTTTTATACCCTTCACCATACATAGTAAAGAGGGTATATTAAGTTCGTCATTCCGTTTGTAACTCTTCGAAATAATAATTTTAGACTCAACAAAGTATATAAGTATATTCTCGATCAGCGTAAAATTCTAAGAAGATTTAGCCCTGTCCGTCTGTTGTAATCACGCTGCAGTCAAAACGAATTAAGATAGGAAGCTAAAACTTTGCACAGATCTGTCTTTTGTCAGCAGGCAGGTCAAGTTCGAAGATGGGCTATATTGGTATAGCCCCCCATATAATCGTATAGCCCCCATATAACGGTACCCCCTGATATTCGGTACTTTAATGATTTTAGTAATATTTTTCAATAAAATTTGCGGAAAATCCACACAAGGAGTTTTTTCTGAGTACTCCGAGAGTGCTGATTTTAGACCATGCTATGAAATCGCCGCCCGTGGAAATCTGTGCTGGGAAGCCATTTTAATGAGGCAACGCCTACAATCGAAGGTCATCGATCAATTTTCAACAAAGTCTGTATCGAAGTACCACGGCCCGTTCAATGCCATTTTCGTAGCATGCTCATACAAGTCTCCAAGTCCTGAATCCTTGAATTCCTGTAGTATCCTTAGAATCCTTGTAGATCGTGCTTGAGTACTTATTAAGGTCTCACGCTTAGGTAGTCTTGCATATATTTCCAGATTCTGATTAAACACTTTTTAAGGTCTCTCGCAAACGAAGCTTAGCATATCCTTGTAGATCCTGTTTTAGTACTTCTTAAGATCTCACGCAGAAGTAGCCTGGCATGTATTTGCAGATTCTGCTTAAACACCTATTAAGGTCTCTCGCAAAAGCAAATGCTTGGCATGTCCTTGTAGATCTAGCTTGAGTACCAATTAATATCTCTTGCAACCGTAGCCTTGAATATCCTTGTGAATCCTGCAAGAGTACTTATTGAGGTATCTTGTAGTCGTAGCTTTGCACACCCTTGTAGATTTTCAGTGAGTACTTATTAAGGTCTCTCGCCGACGGAGCCTTGCGTATCCTTGTAGATCTGGCTCAAGTATTCATTAAGGTAACTTTTTATCCTTGTATATCTTGCTCGTGCGCTTATTAAGTACGTTGTAGGTCTCATGTAGGTCTCGTAGGTCCGGTTTGAGCATTTATCAAGGTCTCTGGCATAAAAATTCATACGTCATCCTGAATTCTAAGAACTTGAGTAGAATAGAATAGAAGAGAATAACTACCCCCTTGCTTCCTTGTCCCGTGACTCGGGTACTTATCCGGGTTTCGAGTCAAGGAACCATTGCTAAATTGGGACTCCAGCCCAAGGAGAAAACTTTTTATTATATTGGCGCCCGAGCAGAGCCATCCATCATAGTCTGATGGAGCCTTAAAAAACACGTCTCATGAATATTCTTAATAAAAAATATTTTCTATCTTGCCGAAAGGTATTTGATTGTGAAAAGTAAAATTTCGCTTACGAACGAAATATCCAATTTCAATAATAATTCAATAAACCCATTGGGAAAGGTGTTTTTCGTTCGCATTTTCATTCGTATTGTCATAGTAAAGAAGTCTTAAAGGAATCATAAAAAATAGCTGGCTCTTCTTTCAATGTAGTGTGTAAAAATATTTCGGAAACATGAAATATTTTATTCTCAGCCAACATAGGTAAAGCTCAAAGGACTTAGAAGTACCTTTAATGGCCTTCCCTTGTAACAAAAAAAAATATTTAAAAAAATGGAATTTATTGGATGATAGAAGTTATTTTGTGTAATGATTTGTAATTTATATAATTTGTATCTCTTTTCTATAATATTTAATTTTTTCTTAAATATTTTCTTTTTTTTTGTTTTTGAAAATTTCTAATAACTAAACTAATCTAAGATTTGTTCATCTTTTTAAACGTTTTGCAAATTTATTATGCTTTTTTGTTTTGTATTTTAAATATATAGATTAATGTATCATTTTTGTTGTTGTTGTATTTTTTTTTTTTTTTCATTATTATAATATTATTGATTTGTTGTTGTTACTGTTGTTCACTTCTTAAATCTTAAATCATTCCTAGCGTTTTTTTATTTATTTATTTTTTCTTCATTCTAAGTAATTGTTTAAATTAATTAATTGTTGTTGTTGTTTCTGGTTGTTAGCATTTTCTTCATTTTTCAGAATATTTTAGAATGGATAAAATGCAGCTATGCTGGAAGTACTAGTAAAATTTAGTATCACAGTATTTTATATAAGATCAAATTTATAATTTCTTGTTTTTTTTGCATTTCATTAACTTCTGTTGTTGTTGTGTTTGGTGTTATTATTTGTATTTGTGGATGTGTTCAAGGGTGTGTGTGTGTGTATGGTTGGGAATGTATTTTATGTGTGTGATGTTCAGTGCTGTCGTTTTAAAAATAATATCCATAGAGATGGAGAAATTTAAAATTGTTTAATTAGGACTTGGAATATAAATATGTTATTTTTCACTTCGCCATTTTTTATTAGATTAATTGAGTTGAAAATATAATTTTCCCCAAAAAGTAGCTTTCAATTGCAAACTAGAAATACTAAAGGCTCGATGACATGATGTGGGAGTCATATGTAAAGTGACTTTTTTTACAACTAACTTTTTATAGTATACTTCAAGGCGCTCCTCAGAAATGTTAAACACTTTACAATCAAGTATAAATTAATATACATTTACTAGAAACTAAATAAGATTTAAGTGTATTTAATGTAATCTTAGTAATCTAAGCATTTAAAAAATTGTTGATAGCTCCATAAAGTATGCTATGGAAATGGAAACTATAAATATGTCAATTTACATATGACTATACAAAATGTGTAATCAGTCTGTAAGAAAAATCAAAAATAAAATTCTTGCTTCAGAATTGCATCTCTGAAATTTTATGTCTCGTTCAAAAAGGGTCTAGAAAATTATTTTACACTCCCAATCGAAGAGCTAGCAGGGTAAGTGCGCACTTCGGTGTTTCTGTCTATTTCAATAAATGTTCCAAAAAGAAAATAGCCAAATCTCTCGAAGCGCCTAAAAGTATGCTAATATTTTTAAGCCAATATTTTCATTATCCAATATCAATAAAAAACCAGTAAGGAAAAGTCAAAAGTCGGGTGGGGCCGACTATATGATACCCCACACCACTATGCATATTTAGTAGAGCTCCCGTAAGAAAAGAATTTATTTGAAGTAGATCATACTACCTATCAACATTTGGCTTTAGAGCAGTTATTGTTTGGTTTCAGTGGGAACTAATATATGTGAGGCATATCAAATTCTGAATCGATTTTCACTAAATGTGCCGAGTTCTACAAAATGGAAATGCACGTCGGGAAATTCACTCCATTTGGGCTGATATTATTCATCCAAATCGGATGAAAAATATATATGGAAGCTATAGCTGTATCTGAACCCATTTTTACCAAATTTGATGCACTTGCTTCAAGACTGAGTTCGGTCAGATGTACCAAAATTCAGATCTTTTGGACTGATATTGGTCATTTGGTGCACAATTAACCCGAAATCGGTTGAGGATATATATGGGACCTATATCCAAATCCGAACCGATCTTGATAAAATTTGATGCACTTATTTCGGAGCTGTATCTGATATCTGTTGTGGAAAATATATTACGCTTGTGAGGGACTTAAAACTCCAAATCGGATAAAACATATATTTGGAAGCTATGGCTATGATTTCTGATTTCTAGAATGAATTCAGTCGTAATTGCCATTTAGTGTACAATAAACCTGATATCGGATAATGTTATTTCTAAATCTGAGCCGATCTCGATAAACTTTAGCGAATGTATTTGTGACCTGTATTTGATATATTTGCCCAAATATTGTTGTTACAGAGTACATATTACGGCTGCGGCGGACAAAAATAACAAATCGGATGAACAATATATATGGGAGCTATAGTTATATCTGAACCGATCATACTTATTTTGAGTCTTAAATTGGTTAAATGTGCAAAATTCTGTATTACACGATTCGTGCACAATAAAAGGCAAGTCGGACGAAGATATATGTGGGAGCTAAATCTAAATTTTGAATTTAGAGTTTGTCCTTGGGTCAAATAATTTGTGCAAAATTTCATCTGGATCGGGCAATAAATTCAATATTCGTACCTGACCCCTCCCCGCCTTCGTACTACCAGAGAGATCGGTTGTTGAATGTATCCACTTCAAAAAAAAGAAAAAAAAAAAAAAAACTCACATCGGAGGAGTATCTAAATCTGGGTCAGTTTAACGAATGCTATTCATAGAGAACCCAATATGAACATTTCATTCAAATCGATTGGAAAAAGTTAGGACTTTATAAGTTTGGTATGAAAATATTAATCGACATTGATAACATTCCACATGGAAGGTTTCACATTTAGGGTGTAGAATTTTCAAATAACAACAATCCCCCCTACCTAACCCCTCTTTGTAAGCTTATATAGATTTCATTATATTTGAAAATTTATAAAACATTAAAATTTTAAAATAACAAAAAATTATCTTGTCCTCTTTACTTTTAATCGGAAATCTTCAAAACGACAACACTCTGATGCGATAGTATCCCAATGAATGTATTTTGTGTAAATGATATTGCTTAAGATTTTTTTTTGTATTGCCATGTTAACATTAATGTAATGTATGTATGCGAATGCCTCTGAATGCCCTGCAAGTGGAAGGTGTATGGCGGTGACGAGTGTAATGCTTTTTTTAACAATTTGGAAGATGATTGACTCTTTTTTTTTGGATTATTAATGTTTACATTTTTCATTTAGACTTTGGAAAACATTTGCTGTTTCTTTTTGAGTAAATTTTTGTATTTTGTAAAGCTACTACAAATGTTAAGACCTTGTTGTGGTTTATTTTGTTTGTTAATAAGATTTTCTTTATATAAGAAAAAAGAGAGACTACTATTTATTAACTAATTTAAGTTACAATTCGTTATCGTTTTAAAGCCTTTCACTGTTAATATTTCGACTACGGTATAATTGTTCAGTAAATTTTGCTTATTTGGAAGATGATACGCACAACAATAGGTGTTTGGTTTTGAATTCAATTTTTGTTTTGGGGGGTAGGAATTTGTTCGTTGAGAGCCAAGATGTGGAAAATGGGGGAAGATATTATTTAAATGAAAACCTTAAAATAGAAATGGAAGTGATAAGGAAACTTTGCATTAAAATAAAGTCAAAAAAATATCCCTAAAACTAAAATCTAGAGAGTGAATTATAACAAATTGTATGTGGCCATGAATTTTTGTACATAAAAATCAGGATTTAAAAAATTAGTTTTTCATTTATTTCTAAAATCTTTATAATGAATTAAAACATAATGTATGAAGGCATCGATTTTTGTACATAGAAAATCAGGATTTTAAAAATGAGTTTTTAAAAAAAATAAAAATTAGTATTTTTTTTTTTAAATATGAGTTCTATCAATCTCTTATATTTTCTAATAAAAACCTACCTTTGTTAGGTCGAATATTTCGCACCACCCATGGTACAATAAAATCAAGGTAGGCTATGACACCATATGATTTTATTATTTTTATTTTCTTGGCCTACTTTGTCAACTTTATTTGTTAATGTGGGTGTATTATTTTCAATACTAAAAAAAGTTCAGAAAATATTCAAATTCGGGTGTTTTCAAAATGCTTGTTGCAAAGTATGAACTTGCAATCGTCACTCGGGTTCAAAAAATCTTTGGTCATAAAAGTTTAAAAAAGAAAACTTATGGGGAAATATCCCATATCATGGTATAAACGGCATTCCCAATGTTTAAGTTTGTATTTAAATATTTATTTAAAATAAATTCTTAATGTCTTCTTTTAGATTTATAAATTATTTCAGAATTAACAAGCACTGCTCTTAGCATGTGCTAAAAGAAATTTCGCCAAAGTTGCAACGGGGGCACTGGTCATTTATTCTTAGGCCTAAAATTAAAATCTAGTTTAGTAAAAATTCTTCAATTTTTTTTGAGTGGTAGGTATTTTCACACTGACTCCGGAAAACTTTTTTTTGGGGACGGACCCGAGACCACAGGTTTTTGACCCGAAAGTATGGGTTTAAGATCCGGATCCACTTACTCAATATATACAATATAGGTATCGCTTATGAAAATACCCATCCAACAAGTGGTCACTTGCTTATTTAAAGCGGTTCGGAAGTTTTAATCAAATTATCGATTTTTTAAACCCGGGTTTTTGTAAAACCCCCAAAAAGTCAAAAAGGGCCCATTATGTGGGTCAACAACAATGATGCGAAATTGTAGCTGACACTCTTACCTTTCCAAAATGCTACAATTTGTGGTAATACCTTTTCTGGGTCCAGAAATATTCTCTTCTGCGTATGTTCAACCGGCGAACCGAACAAAAGTTTTCTAAATTTAACAGTTGTTGTAAGTAGGTCATGTGACCATTTTTTTGGATAGGTATTTTTATAAGCTTTCAATCATAGTAAGAGTTTCCCAGGGTAAAAATATCTACGTCTGGAAAAAAATTTCGAAAATATCGAAGAGTTTTTACTAAACTAGAGTTGTTTCAATTGGCCACCGCATTGGGGTTTTTAGCGCTAGACCAGTGTCGGAGACCAGTGTCGGAAATGACTTTAGTATTTCCAAATTGTTTTGCTGTTGTTAACTTCATGGTCAAATGTGAAATACAAAATGGTTAAAATAGCACCGGCGACAGATATTCTCTAAAAACGACTTCGTGTCGGCTGTTGTATCGACGATGACAATAGCAATCATTAATCGCTATCGACAAAAAACGACAACCTTAATACCGTTATTATCGCCTCGACTTCATTTTGCGACGACGGCAACGGTAATGGGGCCGACTAAATTTTTTCATTTTTTTTCTTTGCGAGAATCAGAAATATAACCACTCTAGGTTAAAATTGAAAACTACTGATTTCAATTTTAACCTAGAGTGGGTTATATTCTCTAACTCATTTTTTTGAGTTACCGATTTATGTCGGTAACATTAAAATGCGTATAACTGCGGTAATTAATGAAATTTGTCTGTAAGTTAGTGATGAAATCAAAGTTGTCGCCATTGATACCAATGTTGTCAACTTTAACTTATTTTTGTATATCAAAAATCTGATTTTCAAAGTTATCGATTTTTGTCGCAAACTCAAAAAATAAGTTAGAGAATCCCAGTACCGGGCGAAAATTGTGACTTGATGTGTGGCCAAATATACCATCATAGATCTTGCAAAAATAAAGCGATGTGCCAAATTATTGCTTTCGATACAAACAAAGTCTCCACATTCTTACGCTTGACTTTTAATGGTCTCTACCGAAATTTTAAATTAAATTAATTTGAAAACTACATATTCGGATTAATTTCATCATTTGTTTCGATATGGAACGCGAGAATTTTGCCCGTCTCTGTGGTGTGCTAAAAATAAGACCACCTTTTAAAACTATTAGCAATCCTCGCTTAATTTTATCTTTAAGATCGGGATAGACGTGAGTAAGATACACAAAATTTTATTGCAACTTAGAATGTTCCTTCCGAAAAGTCCAGTAATCTGATTTCTTTTGTATTGAAACAAATCATTTTTCGTTAAGCAAAATTTCTTAGTTATATGCAATTCTCAAATAGTTTTTTTTAATTTATAATTTCTTTAGTGTTTTAACATATTTTAGATCTACTCCACTTAGTGGAAACCCAATTCTATGGTCTTGAATAACAGTTGATTATAATATCCTCCTTTTCAAGCGACTTGTCCATATTTGTTATATATATACATCACTTTTATAGGGGGACAAAAATAAGTTAACAATTAAAAATTAGGTTAGGAAAGGTTTACTTCTTCGCAAAAATAATAATGATGGTTCTACTTTAGTTTTAACGTTTTTACTAGAACCCTTTTTTGCTATCGGAAAATATATAATCAATTCGAAAAGTCTATTCAAGTTTTTAGGTAAAAGTGAGATTACATAAAGGCTTTTTTGGCTGGCTTAAGCAATAGGCTGGCTTCTTCGGAAAAGAAAAAGTTCACCTAAAACTCTTTTTTTTCTCTACGAAGAGGCTACCCGATGACTTGAGCCATCCAAAAAAAAAAAAACGTTTTATGTATTCTCACCTTAAGAAATGCTTTAAAGACTATTAGCAGTTCCCATATAAACATTTGCAATAAAAAATTTAATTTCATCTTCAAATATTAAGGAATAGTAACTCATATTTCGTTGTAAATATAGGTAAATATTAAAATTAAAATCTCTTTTTCTTCGATTCGTAACTCAGATATAAATAAACACAAAAAATATACAATGATGGTTGTGTGTATGACAAAACAAATTTATTTTCTTGCATTTTATATACCTATATCTAAAATGATGACAATGAATATTTTTTTCTGATTGTATAGAATAATAGTACCGTTTATAAAACAAAGACATGAAAAAAAATCAAATTACAAATTCCTAGCCTATACTCTAAGAAACTAACTTAAAAATTAATGCACGCATGAGAGAGAGAGTTGATTACACAGTAAAATAATATGCGCTTAAAACATAAATAAATACAAATTTCAAATTCACAAAGATGTAATTAAAAATAAAATGAAATTAAAAATAATGATCAAATAATACATAAAAATAAACATGGAGTTAAAATTCATAGATTTTATGAAAAAAATTAAATAAATTATAGATTGAATAAATATTTTAAGAATTACATTAAATTTGATGTGACCACTGTAAGTTTGACAAAATATCAATTTATACCACTCAAGTGTGGTAAAGCTTTTTACAAAAAAATATTTGTTATTAGATATTACAAATAAAATTGTAAGCAAAGGATACAGCAAAATTTGACGAAAGCATAGCCTATCAGCCAATAACCCTATCTGACGACTAAGATTTGAGATGCGAAAATAGACAAATCACAATAGTGAAAAAATAATGGGTTTCTGTGACAAATTGTTGTCAAAAGCAGTTTTCTTGTCCAACCTTGTTTAAGCCTTGTCGAAAGAAAATGAATGCGAGAGAACAACCCCAATTCTATGTATGTTTTTTTTTTCTTTTTTTTGTGAAAACACTCCTAGAATTCTAGTTTTTCTTTTACATTAATTGTCGGCATACGTTAACAGGCCCTTAAAGTTCCAAAGCCATTCTTTAAAGAGGTTGATTCAGAAGAAACGAAGCTCTTTTGGAAATCCTAACGTGAAATGATTTATAACACACGAATATTCAAAAAATGCATGAAATCTCAAAATATTCATTTACAAAGATCCTCAAAAAACATTATAGAAAAGCCCTTAATAATCTTTTTCCTTTTGGGGTTCTGACTTAAGAGATCTTGAATTTATAGAAGATTCAAGATTCATTCAATTCAAGAAAAAGTTGAAAAAGATCTAAATATATAGAAGACCATAGAAAAGGGTACAGTAGATCCCAAGGAAGCTTTGAAAAATTTCTGTAGAAATACAAACAAAAATGTCATCTAGAAAATAGTCCGCTGATTTAGGGGACTTTAAAAAAATCGAAGAGACATGTGTTTTTGAATGTAGAAGACAGGTCATTGTCCTAAAGACAGCCTACGTATGAGTTCCGTTATCTGAAAGCTTTTATCAGGCATGTCACAGAATGTAAAATCGTTCAAGAGTGAAAACGAAAACGGTTTTAGCTTCTCTAAAAAACGGAAAACGCAAAAATTTTGCGTTTTGATATCACTTTCAAAAAGCAGGGTGAAATTGAAATGTTTAGTGATTTTAACGTAAAAAATAAACAGAAGACACATACATTTAACAGAAAATATTGTATTAACCAAATTCTCTTAGAATGAACATGTTTTTGGAATTTATTTTATAAAAAATCTATTATTTTTCTAATCCATGATGAAAACGCAAAAAATATGCAGAAATGAACGGCAGACTTGTATTGTTGAATTATTGCCATATGTGTTGAAGAAGAAGGTGTAGAAATGTAAAAAAGGGATTCGTCTTCGGAAGGTTTAACCATTCTAACGTGAGTTCCGTCAAAGCATCCTACAATTCCTGGAATTTCATAATTTTCAAAAAAGTACAATTTCGACTTTCTTTTTTCTTCGGAAGACATTCTTAATTTGATCCAATGTGGACAAATTTCAGCTTCAAATGCATTAATAACTCTCCACATAATTGTAGAAACTGTACTTCTCCCAAGGCTTAGCTCCACATCTCTACCTATAACTCCTTGAAATGCACCCGTAGCCAAAAACCTAAGCGTTGTTGCAAGCTGGATAATAGCCGGTATATTGGAACGTTTGAGGTGGGGAGAAATTTTTTCCAAAACTAAAACAAAAGCTTCTTTATTTAGCCGATAATAAGTTATAAATCTTTAGAAATAAATTATTATTAAAATAAATTTGAAAATAACTCATTGCTGGTGGATCCTTACTCTGCATTTGAGTGAGATAAAGGATCTGATGCGTTCCTCAATGTCCGGCGACGAATTTTTTCAGTAGACCGCTGATTTATTTCTTCATCCATTACAGCAAGTATTGAAGCCCCTAGCATTTTTACTTTTGGTGTTTATATTATAAAAAACAATTTAAACTCCTTTTTTAATTGTCAATAATTTGTTTACGACTTTTTTTCATGGAGTTACCATATTTTTATTTCAAAAATGTGAAATGATTTTTTTTCCGGATTAGTCAAAACGTACGAGTGCTGAAGAAGCAAAAGCAAATCGTAACGATTTGGAAAAGGTGAAATAAATCGATTTCGTAAAACTTCTGTGACATGCCTGTATTTTTTAAAACAGATTGGGTATCTGGGTAAGAGCTTGCTTTTATTGAAGATTCTAGCGGACCTTCTACTTGAGGTTTTGTTCTGTAGGAACTCTTAAAAGATGTTTTTGTTATCTAAAAATTTTCTACCGATTTAGGGCATCCTAACAATTTTTACTTCTTAAAGAAGACTGGTTTTTGTTCACGCGAAACCCTTAAGAAGGAGCCCTTTTTCAGAACATAATCCATATCTGGATAGTATCTTAATTTCATAGAAGATTTTTTGCTTTTAACAGACTACCAACTTAAATTTGCATCTTTCTGTAGGAAATTTAAAATGATTTTAGATATAGAAAAATGTCTACCGATTTAGAGGACCTTAAAATAATTATACTTCTTCAAGATACATGTGTTAGGAGTTCTGTTTTCAAAAAACTTTTATGTGCAAAAGGTTTCTTAAAATATATAGGATACCTAGGTAAAGTCTTACTTTTATAGACAGACCTTCTACCCGAAATTTCTTTCTTCTGTCGGAACTCTTAAAAGATATTTTTCATTTAGCAATTTGTTGAATACAATTTCAGAGGACATATAAAATAATTATATATTTTTTGAGAGACATGAGTAGAAGACAAAGAAAACCTTTGGAAATATTCTCCAGAAGGGTTTTTTCATTGGGGTTTTTACAGAATACTTTTGGAAGGTCTTCGAGCAGCCGTTCTACTTGAAATTTCTTATTTCTATGTTTGTCATATAGAAAATTGTCTAAAGATTTAGACCATCTTAAAAGAATAATATTTGTTAAAAAGAAGTGTGTTTGGGACACTAGAAAACAGGTCTTCCTTCTCAAGAAACCCCTATGTAAGAGCTCATTTTTTTTAGAAATCCTCTATGTGCAGAGGGTATCTTAAATCATATTGGATACTTGGATAAAACATCCCTGGATAAAACATCCTTTTATAAGATTCTAATCTTCTAGCAGCCCTTCTGCTTAAATTCATTTTTTTCTGCAGGATCATCAAAAATATTTGATTGTCATCAAGTCTGCCGATTTAGGGTACCCTAAAAGAATTATGTTTGTTAAATACAGAAACAGGAACAGCCAGGAAAAGTAAAAACAGTTCCGTTTTTCTCAAGATCCCTTAATTAGGAGTTTTCCTTTCAGAACTCCTTCAAAGGTTTCCTAAAAAATAATGAATACCTTAGCCTTTTATGACACATCGGATTAGTCCTACAAAATTAGGGGTGTTTTTCTAAACCAAAAGTGAAAAAACTCACTTTTGTGTCTCTTCGTATCATTTCTTTTTATCCCTTCTTTCCTTCGAAAGTTTTCCAGCTCTCCGTTAATGGTGCCACAATGTCCTGTTACGTTCTACGTTCCATCTACCATGGGAAACCCCAAAATCCATTGAACATAATGGAAAACCTACCACAAAATTTGTCACGTTACTGCTGGTGCTCTATTTTCCAATGAGACGGGGGAAACGGAAAATTGCCCTTAATATTTGAATATGTCCTTTGCCTGCGGCAGTCTTACCGAAGAAGAGGAGAAATGTAAAATACAAAAATTACTGTCATCGTTCTTAAGTGTAGTTTAGGTTGAAGCAGTTTTTTTTGTGGTTTTTTGAAAGAGGGAGTTATCGCTATGAATAGGTATTGGGAGGTATTATAAAGAAGACAAGGTCTTTTATCTAACAAAGACTCGTGCAAGGCCTTCGTATCAAAAGGTGCGAGGCCTCATAGGAGGAGTTTTTATAAATAAAAGACAACGTTTTTCTACAAGTCGGCCTTTTAAAATAGGTATATAGATATACTTATGTCTAAAAAGAAAATCACAAAGGATTTACGCTCATCGGACAGTGTTTGTAACTAAGCACATATATGATATTAGCATATTTTTCCAAAAAGAAAAACTTCAAATTAAATAAATCAAATTACAGGTGTCGTCAGATTTTATGTAATAACCTCAAAATACCATTAAAAATTAATCTATTTTTAGATTAAATGACAAATTTATATGAACATATGAAATGAAATAATTTCTTTCGAACTAACATCACTTAGAACTGAGACATATGAAAATTACATCTACTAAAAAAAAAACTAAAAATATGGACTTAGATTGTAAAGACTTAAAATAAAAACTCTTGGCTAATTCCTACGAGGAGCATAGTGGTTATTAAAATTAAAAAAAAAATAAAAATAAACAAATAAAATTCTTGTTGTTTCACATAAAAAAAACTATATTCAAAAACGAATTGAATGAGGTGATATACAATGATAATGGCGAACTTTTGACTGTTTTGTTGTGATACCGCGTACATGTGGTGAGTCGATGTCGATGTGTGAATGTATTGTATGGTTGTCTTTCTGTGTTTAATTTTTGTTTTATGTGTAATTTGGTTGTTTGATGTTTTAGACTAAAACGCCATAATACTTGCTTTACTTAGTTCCAGCATCTTAGCTACATTCTATTCTAGAAATATTCTAGAGCTCAATTTATTATAAAATATAATAAAATTTGCTTTTTGCATTAGATAAGAAATGATTTTATTCGTTTTGGTTTTCTTATTCATCATCATCGTTGCTACAGGTGTTGTTGTTCTTGTTGTTGGCTGCTTAACTTCTTCGTTTTCTGCAATTGCAGGGATTTCTTGTTGTTTTTCTTCTTCATTTGAATATTGGCTGAGCTGAGACCATTGAAGAAGTCTTGGCTGACAATTGATTGATTTGAACAACATGTTGTGAGGTCTGAAGAGAAGAGTATTTTGAGCAACAATCATAGATTTGTTGTTGAAATTGAAATAATTATTCTTAATATTGTTTATATATAGCAAAAAACTAATGGCCTTGGGCTTGAAATTGAAAACTAGGGCCGCCAACATGCTTTCTAAGTCACAAGTTATGCAAGAAATGTCGAAAGAAGAAGTAGCTTGAGGAAGATTTTTTAAATTTAATAAAAATGTTGATGATGATGATGACAATGACGATCCCATCATCTTGGAGGATGGTGGTTGGTTTTGTTTGGATTTGTCATTGTTCTTGGTGTAATAATTGTTATAAATTTTATCTTTGTCATTATATGCAACAACTACAAAAGCCAAATGGGCTAAGATTTCGAATACAACTACAAAGGAATTTGGTAATTGTTGTAATTCTTGTTGTTGTTGTTTTTCATGGTTTTCTTGTAATATAATATTATTAACTGGGAATATTGCTAATAATATTTCGATAAATTGTTGTTGTTGTTGTTGTAATAATAATAAAGGTATTATCATAAGTACTAATTGAATTTGTAATAATAATAATAAGATTATGAATAATAATAAATATTGTTGTTGTTGGTTTTCATTTTCAAATTGTTGTTGTTGTTGTTCTTGATCCATTAAATATATATTTGCTAATATATTCAAATAAACGATTATCATTATTATAAAGATCATCAGCATTATTATTGACTTGTTCTGCTCCTCCATCAGCAGCGATGAGGACATGTGATTTTGCTGCTGTTCTAATTCTTCATTCACCTTTTCTACTTCTACTACTCCTTCATTGTTCTGACTTTGGAAAACAACATTTTTTGTCATTTGTTTGTTAAAATTTTCGATTTTAAGCAGTCATTCCGGAAGCGCAAATTCATCTTGTTCTTGGGGTTTCTTTAACCAATTACCCAAATCCTCACGACGAAAGGCGGCAAACAGCTCACGTTTGGCAATCTATGCAAAAAAGATAAACAATTTTAATAATTTTAAATAACAACCTGTCCTCTCATCGACAACAAAATTCTCACCTGATAATCTTTAACTTTGGCCTTAGTCTGTCCATAATCTGTGGTCAGCTTACGTTCGGGTAGACCTGGTAGATTCTTCACCAAACTGCCATACTTATTGAAGAACATTTGTTTGGTAATACGTGAGATTTGATTGTTCACGGTCTTGCCGGTCAGCGAATTCACCACCTCCACTTCAGTATCGCCAATTGTCCAATTAATACCGAAATTTGGTGCCTTTGCCTGATTACGAGGCTCCGACGATGTCAACTGAGCCAAACGTGGCTTATTCAAATGATACGGTGGTGGAAGACCTTGTATGGATTTTTCAATGCGACCACATACGGCCCGATACATATGCTCCGGATGCAACAAACTGCCCAATACTATGGAATGCAAATAGATTGGTTCAATAATCGATGACAGCAATGAGCCCTGTATGCCCACAATATTCCAACGGGCAATTTTATCGGAACATGACATGGTAAGAAGACGATGACCCTGTAAAGTGATAAGAGGTGTGGAGAATTAATAAAAAAAATGTTTAAAAAAAGTGATTAGTGTTGTGAAAGTCCTATCGATGTAAATTCCTTTTTTTAATGTAAAAAAGATCTTAAGACAAAGATAGTCGAACGGAATTAAGTTTGACAGCAAATTTTTCATACCCCTTTCAATGAGGTTATAAAAATTTTGAGAAGATCAAAAAATACAGATATGTAATCTTTGCTTATTTAGATCTTAAAGTACCAAATACATATGGAAGTTTCAACTTAAAAATTCTCGGAGATTTCAGTTTGCGGAATTGAATACGAAATCAAAGATCAAAATAGCAACAAAACAAAAATTTTCTCAGCCTCAACATTAATTAAAAGCTTATAACGACAAAATGCGAAAGTTTATCCTCAAAATTAATATCATGATTTCGAAGTTGATACATGGGATTCAGATGTCAGATCTAGTTTCGAAAAAGAACGACTGGGGTATTTAGTATAAATTACTTAATATGGGTTTGGTATTGTTGGTACAATTTTGCATATACCCTCAAATTATGCCTGAAAATATGTATGCCAAATTTGATCGAAATCGGTTCAGATATAGCTATAACTCCCATATATATTGTTCATCCGATTTGTTATTTTTGTCCACCGCCGCCGAAATATGCACTCTGTAACAACAACATTTGGGGAAATATATTAAATGCATCTCAGAAATACATTTGCTAAATTTTATCGAGATCGGTTCAGATTTGGATATAGCTCCCATATATAACTTCGTCCGATTTACTTTTTATTGTGCACCAAACGTCTAATATTTGTCCAAATGGGATGGAATTTGGCACTTACGACCGAATTGAGTCAGATATAGCCATAGCTTCCATATATATTATTCATCCGATTTGTTACCAACAACCGTAATATGCACTCCGTAACAACGATATTCAGGGAAATATATCAAATACAGCTCGGCCCCGCCCGACTTTAAGACTTTCTTTACTGGTTTTTACTGAATTAGTAGTTTAGCTGATACAACTATAATGCAGGAAAACATAAGTAGTAAATAACGAGATCATATTATCAAAATTAACCTTCCGATGCTGATGAATTTTAAACATTCGTAGGTACAATACTTATGCACAGATCAAATGAGATTGCATTGAAGAAGTTTCAATCTTGTTGTCACAGACCTTTGGTCACTTTTTTCATACGAGCCAAAAAGTATGCAACAGTGAAGGTGTTATAGACTTGCAAACAACTTTTATTGTCGATTTTATGAAGAAACAGACCGTCACGAAATAAAAAAAACCCCGTGTCGAAAATATGTATAGAGACTATTAAACCTTCTCACTGGATTAGCAACTTAGCTGACACACCGTCACATGAGCTTCGTGGATTATCAAAATGTTGAGCCTTTGTGGGGGAGGTACCAGAAGGAGAGGACCGATATATCCCATCTTCACAACAGATCTTGTGTTAGCAAAAATTTTTATATGTGTGAAATATAAAGAGAACCTGATACTTATTTGGGATTTTCTAAACGTTTCGGTCATTCAAAACATTGACCCTTTGTGGAGGAGGTACCAGAAGGAATGGTCCGATCTTTGCAATCTTTATAACAGATCTGGTGTTGAAAGAAAAATTCAGATGTGTGAAGTCTAAATGGAATGCTATATTCGGTTTTACCAACAAATGTATACCCTCAGCCAATATTCGATTACTTAAATGTATTTTGACGTCTGTAATGATTATTCAAATTGTTGAACCTCTATGGCGTAGGTTCCATAGGAAGGGGCCAATATTTTACATTTACGATAATATAAATATTGCGACGTGTCAGGTTTTGACTATATCGACAGCTTTCTTCACTTTATATGAGATATGTGATTATTTTTAGAAAATGTACGTGAAGTGCCAGATGAGATCGACCGAAGGATTCCATTTTCATACTTTGTTTAATACAGATAAAAATATTGGTATGGGCAAAATTAGAAGAAAATCGAACATTTATATCCAATTTTATGCGAAATCATATAAACCATATTCTTAGTTTTCTGAACCTCAATTATTCTTCTATGAAAGGGTGAAATGAAAACGTTTATAAAGGGAAGAAATGTCAAATGTCTCGCCCTTGGTTGAGTGAAAGATTTAGATATAGCAAGTTGTATAGAATCGATGTCATGTTTCGTAAGTTATGACAGATATAGGTATTGAAAACTGCGACCCTTGTGTGGGTGAGGTACCCGAAGGGGTTTGTAGATATATATCATACCCACAACAGATCTAGTGTTAGCAGAAATCTTTGTATGTATGAAATTTGAAGAGAGGTGGATGCTTCTTTTGCTTTCTTTGTGCGGTGGTACCAAAATGTGGGGGTGGTACCAAAAGAAATGGTCCGATCTCTACCATCTTTAGGACAGATCTTGTGTTTATTGAAATATTGAGATGTACCAAGTCTAAATGGAATCGAATGTTAATTTCGGGTTTTATGAGCTTCATGGATTTTAAAAATGCTGACCCTTTGTGGGGGACGTACCAGAAGGAGTGGACCGATATATCCCATTTTCACACCAGACCTTGGGTTAATAAAAATATTGTGGTGTGTGTTAATTGAAGAAAACCAAAATGACTATTTCGGAATTTAAGATCGTTTTGGTTATTTCGGGGGAGGAATGGTCAGATCTCTACCGTTTTTATAACAAATCTTGTGTTTATTGAAATAGTGAGATGTGCCAAGTCTGAATTGAATCGAATGTTAATTTCATGTTTATAAGCTTCATGGATATTTCAAATTTTGAATCTTTGTGGGAGATCTTCACACCGGACCTTGGATTAGTAAAAATATTGTGATGTGTGTAATTTGAAGACAATCGGCTATGATGAAATAGCCAGATAATGCAAGGATTCCATGGAATCTTGATCTGAAAATTTTCTAAGATTTGACGGAGTGGGAACTTGTAGGCAACTTTGTGTTGCAAACTTCCAAAACGCCATTATATGTGCCTTCTATTGTTAGCTCTACTTTCATAATCTGTTCGATTTTTCTTGTAATTATTGGTAAAAATTAATTTTGTCGCACAGATCATATAGTAGTCGCAACAGAATGTTCGAAAGTTTGGTTAACCAATTATTGGATTTAAATTCCTTTTGTGAAGCACCGAAATTTGAGTTCCTGATTTCCATGTATCATTAACCTAATATTACAATGTCGAATTGATGGGTACACGCTAGCCCATTTCATCAAAGAAAGAATATTGGAATATAACCACTCCTCTTTTGGGATACTTGTAACAATTATGGGAGCGTTCAAAAATCATGTATCGTAATTGTCTCCAACGAAGTGGGAAAGACCTCTCGAATTTGATTTTGATTTTCAGGAAAAACTTTTGGAGGAACAATGAACCCAAAGCTGTACTGAACCCGATTTTAAAACCTCCTAAAATTGATATTAAAATTAAATTTAATAATTCAAAAATAGATAATAGGAAAATACTTACCTCCAAAACACCATCCCAGGTCTGAATGCCATCACTGCTCTTAACGGGTATGGTACCTTCACCCGATTCAATCTTTGTACGCAATTGACCACGTGCTTTTCTGTACAGGTGGTGGTGGTAGTGGTGAGATTTTGGTTTGAGATTTGATTTGGTTTTTGAGATATACACAGAGAGAGATAGAGAGGGGAAGAACGTTGTGTTTCGATTGATTTCGAAGAGAGTTTAGTGTTTTTATATTCGAAATCAGATCGGGAAAGGAAAATTTGTTGTTGTTGGTTGGTAGATTGGTTGGTGGTGGTTGTGGTGTGTTAGAAAACAAAAATAGACATTTTTACAGCAACATAAGTTTATTTGTTCATCGATTAAAATAAATTATTTGTATTTTTTTTAGTTTAGTAAAAAAATTCCACAATGTTTCAGACGTAGACATAAGTAGAGAGAGATAAAGAGAAAAAAATTATGGATTTAAAAGAGAGCGCCGACACAAAAAGAGAGCATTGTTAGAAAAAAAAGTAGAGACAATAAAAGAAAATTATTATTATTAATTTGAAAGAATAATTATGCAAGAAATCAATTGGAAATTTTGAAAAAACATTTCGAAATAATAACAAAATTTTACATTTCAATAAAATAGAGAAGAAAAAAAAAATAGAAGAAGAAAGAAAGAAAGAATAGAAAAAAAAGGAGATACGTCAAAATTTAGATTCAAGAAACTGAAGTGGAGGTACTTTAAAATTTAGATTTTTTTAAGTGTTTAAAAAACAATTAACAAAAAAAAAGAAACGAAAGAAGATAACACAAAAAAATATGAAATCTAAAACAAAACTTGTTGGAAATTTCCGAATGAAAAGTATTTAAAAGTGGTAAATGGAAGAAACACTTTGTGAGACACTGTTACAATGGCCACTACTAACCTCCCATATGGTCTAGTGGCTAGGATATCTGGCTTTCACCCAGAAGGCCCGGGTTCGATTCCCGGTATGGGAAGATTTTTTTTATTTTCATTTTGTTTTGAGCGTTGCGATTCACGGCGAATTTTTTTGCGTAGTTGAAGCGCGTTGTTTTTTTTTTCGTTTTCACCCAGAAGGCCCGTTTTCGTTGCCCATTTTGGAACGGAATACGCGCGTTTTTTTTTTTTTGTGTTGCTGGTCTTTGTTTTTGTCATGCCATTTTTAAATACTTTTTTCTTCAGAAATTTCACAAATTCTTCAAAAGTGTTTTTTTTTTTTGGTATTTTTTAGTTTCTTTTCTTTTTTCTTTTTGGGGGGTTCCAAAAAATCTTTTACTCTACTTGGTCTACAAAAGAAATATTTTGTAAATTTTTTTGTTTGTTTGGTTCTTTTTTTTTTCAAACATGGCATTTCAAGAAAATTTACTTTAAAAGATTCTCAAAAATTAAAAAGTATATAAAGTAGTATATATATATAGAGTTTTATATATATGGTAAAGGTATATATAAATTAGTTGTAAAGATATTTTTACCTATTTGGGTGTTTATCAACACTCGAGTCATTTTCGTGGGGACTAAAAATGCGAGCATCCCCACAAGGCGCTGTATTTATGTACAGATGAAAATGTACACCGGTTTTCAATTTGTACGGGTATTGCGCATTTTCTTGGTTCCTCACGAAAATTGACTGATTTGCTGTTGCTATAAAAATAAATAAAATAAATTTTTGTTTTTATTATTAATTAAATTCGTTGTATGTTTTTTTTTTTTTAATTTTATTTTAAAATATTATTAATTTCTTTTTCAAAAAAAGGGGTTATAATGAAATTTGAAAAGAAAAAAAGTAAGAAAAAGAGAGGTGGACTTGGTGGTGGTGGTGATTTAACAGGGTTTTAGTATGGAAACTTAAAAAAGAAGGTGATAAAAATTAATAGAAACCTAAAGAAAGTAAAACATATTGTGTTGTAATGGAGGTGTTTTCCAACATTTGGGGCTGAGTGAAACAAAAATGATGTGTGTGATATTATTCTCAGGCTTAGGCAGTAGAAAAAAATAAATAGTGTGGATTTTTGTTGTTGTTTTTTTTTTTTTTTAAAGAAAAATTAACAAAAATTAATGTCTTCTAAAAACAAAAATTAGGAAAAATTAGTAATTCACTTTCGAAATCTTTTTACTCTAGGCCAACGTCGTGTCATCCAAAAAACTTACGAGACGAGAGAATTCAAAACAAACTTCAATTTCTAAGAAAAAACAAACTTGATAGTTTATCACTTTTAAAAATTCTATATTTTTTTTTTTTTGTCAAAATTATCAAATTATATATGTATGTATCATAAAATGCACATGAGATGGAGATGTAAGTTATTGATTTTTCATGTAACCCAAAGTCCTAGGCTTGATTCCCGTTTTTCACATTTTTTTAATTGTAAAAATTTTTTATTTTATTTTTGATATTTACATGTGGTTCAGAGAAATGTGTTAGCGAAAAATATCGAACATGCCAACATGCAAATATTATACACAGATACAAGCATAATTGTTACGAACGAACATTGATTAATTATGTGAAAGTGTTGAAATTAAAAAACGGGTTAAATCAAAAATTTTTATTGTCTTGTACATTGGTAGCTTTAATAACCTAATTTTCGAGACAGAATGTATGGGGAACCTTGGTTTAGGGTGTATTCTTCAATTTTGTCATGGAGGCATTTGTATCGCCGTCTTAAAGACTACAACGTAACCTTAATGGAGGGGGAAAATTCAGCTCTCTTCCACCTTTTTTTTAAATTTTGGGATTGATATTCATTGGCATTAAATAAAAAAATAAATAAAATACAAGAGTAGTGAACTGACTGACTGATCGAGAATCAACGCCCAGACGAAACGGCTGAGGCTACAGTTTTGAAATTTTTTCTCGAGTCTTGGTGCGTAGGCGCGTGGTAAAGCTGGGTTTTTAGCAATTCGTACTGAAAGTCTACGAAAAGTACTAAAATGTACTAAAAATTTAACACTTTGTATTGGATAAAAACTTGGAATGAGACTTGCACTCGGTGGATTACAGGATAGATGAAACAAAGGGTTTTTAGAAATTCGAGTTTTAGGGTTACGAAAAGCCCTTCAACGGTACTAAGCTTCTAAAATTGTACCATTTGGTATAAACTTAACAAGTAAAAAAGCAGAAGGTTCCGCCCGGCCGAACTTTGAATACCCTCCACCATTTGGAACGAATTTGGAAAAACGGAGACTTGGACCTGTATAGGTAACTTTTGTCATAAGCCATTACAATATTCAAATACGAAACTTGAAAAAAATTGGTGAATAATGTAGCTAGTAGGTACTGATATATGGGGCCTATACGAAGGCCTGGACCTGCATAGACCAGTTTTCTGTCATAGACTGTAGTTCCCATTACGAACTCGAAATGTGAAACACTTACGGTGAATAATGTCGCTAAAAATCTTCAAAATACCAGATAATGGGGGGGGGGGTACCGTTGTATGGGGTCTATACAAAATCGTGGACCTACATAAACAATTCTCTTTCAGGGGGTAAAATAGTCACGAAGAACTCCTTGTGTACAATTTCAGACAATTTCATTGAAAAATGTGGTTACAATCATCAAAATACCGAACATCGTGGGGTATCTAAAATTATTATTTCGATGAGTTAGAAACGGAATGGCGAACATAATATAACCTCCATACTATGTACGGTGGAGGGTATAAACATTGGTATAAGAATCAAGGTTGGCACATAAGTTTGATATATGAAGGTGGTTTTAGAAGTGTGCGAACTGAAGTAAATGGTACACAATTTGGAACAGTCTGTATTGAGGCCCCTGTTGGTGGTAGGTTTGCGATTTTGGAAATGGGTACAATAATTAACCCATATTGCGTGAACAGACAGTGCTGGCAATCCGGAATTTGGTATTAAGGTCGCTGTTCATGGAGGTGCATATGTCCAGAAATTTGTACTATAATTGTACGAACAGTACTGAATGGTAAAATATTTGGTATGGCGTGGAGGGATAGAAATTTAATATTTAGATTTCTGATGGTATCTGTGTTTGAGATTTGGCGGTGGTTCGGAATTAATTCATATACATATTTGTACGAAAAGTACCAATTTGGTATTGGTTGAAGGGATAGAGCTGGAAGCCCGAATTTTGATATGGACGTCACTGTTGGTGCCTGTGATTGAGAGAAAGTTCTGATTTGGAGATGCGTACCACGAGTGCACGAAAAGTACTAAATTGGGTAAAGGGATGGAGATAAAATTCTGAAATTTGTTATTAAGATAACTGTTGGTACTATAATTGTTCGAAAAGTACTGAGTGGTACCAACTTTGGAATTGGACGAAGGCATAGAACTGAAATCCCGAGCTGCATATTGAGGTCTCCCTTGGTATCTGAGATAGAGATCGTCCTGTGATTTTGTAAATGAGTACTATAATTGTTGGAAAAGTACTAATTTTTACCAATTTTGGATCACTATATGTGTCTAGGATGCGTTCAACATGGTCCGATAGCGTAACTCCAGTTATCCTTCATTTTCAAAGAAAAATTATCCAATTATGCCTTTGGATCCAAATCCGCAGCAAACAGTGACTCAAATGCATCGGCTTCTCAAAGTGTACGTGTGGGTATGTGGCCCAAATGACACAATTTTTCTTATTTAAATACTGCTAATAGACCCTATACCAAGTAAAATTTGGATCGATAAATTAAGAGATTATTAAAAAATTATTAAATAATTTACAATTTTGGTATGATTTGCAAACCCTCCCCTATGACCTTTTTTAGTCTACACAAAAATCGATCGCACCTTTTACAATGTTTTAATTCCAAGAGAACAAAACATGTAAAAATCATCCCCTAGTGGCATCCGCAAATTGCATATTCAAGAAAACTCTTAAAATTCCAATATTATGTATCCCATATGGTCTAGTGGCTAGGATATCTGGCTTTCACCCAGAAGGCCCGGGTTCGATTCCCGGTATGGGAAAGTTTTTTTTTTATTTGTTAATATTCTATTTTATTTCTAACGAAATAAGGAAATTATAGTTAAAAAGTAATTTTCCTTATTTTTTCAGGCCATAACTTAATATCAACAGTTCAAAAAGATTTCTCTTCCTAATATGAAATTCTGACATTCGATAACGAAAAAAATTAGATCGGAATATATTTAAAAATGTAAATTTCGGCTTGATTTAATTAAAAATTTCGTTTAATATTGAATATTACTATTATTATTCCTTAATCCTCATCCCTTATTATTATTAATCCTCTGTT